TGGTTTACACATAATACCACACAAATTGGACTGTGGAAGGACTTGGAATTGGACTAAGGAAGAACTTTGGTCTTCCTTAAACCTCGACATGCCCTTACTAGAGTATTACCTGATTCATATACACAGGCTACATTGGTTACATTCATCAGGAGGAAACAATGCTTGACTTGTTATGGGAAATGTGAGTTAGGGTTCCTGGTTTACACATAATACCACACAAATTGGACTGTTAAGACAAGAAGAACTAAAAAGGAGTATTCACTGCTGTCAAAAGACTTCTGCTTTATCGTAATTTGTAAGCAGGGTTGATGATAGGAGCCTGTCCACTTAAAGGAACCAGAACTCATGTTTATTAACATGTTTTAAGTGGGCTGTGTGGGAAGCATTATACTACAATCAAACACACTCTTAAAGCATTTCATTAGAAAGTATAATGATGTACCAAAGATTCTTAATTCTCTTGAGTAGCATGTTGCAGGGTTTACATATGTAACTCCTGATACAGTTGTATACAAAGACTTAGACTCCCATAGTCAAATTGTATGTTTCATTGAAGGCAGAGTGCAGGATAGCCAAAAGGGCAGAGATGGGGGGGAAATAGGTGGGGGGGGGAGTTGGTGGTACTCCCTTACCTTACTGAGGCTTGGGGCCAGAATGGCTTGGATTGGGGTAGGTCCTTGGCTAACAACCAGTAGAATTCGATTAACAATGGTAACAGGGAGTTCCGGGAGTGCCGTCACTAAGCAATGTGGTCACGTGATGTCACACTTTATGACCACATTGCTTAGCAATAGAAATTCCAGTTCCAATTAGTGTCGTAACTCGAGGACTATCTGTATTGGATGGACAGAAGCCTCTGGGGGTGAGTGGTCCTGAAGATATCCAGGTCCTGGGCCATTAAGTACTTTAAAGAAGATTGCAACCAGCATTTTGAATTGCACCCTAAAACCAGCTGGCAGCCAATACAGCTGTCAAAATAGGGGTATTATTTGGAAGAACTTCGGTACTCCCTTAACTGCTCAAGTAGTTGTATTCTGAACTAGCTTAAGCTTCTGGATAGTCTTCTGGGGCAGCTCTAGGTAGAGCTAATTGCAATAATCCAAATGGGGTGTGTAAAGCATGAGTGACAATAAGTAGAACCTCCTGCTCCAAGAATGGTTGTAGCTGGCATACCAGTTATGATTGACTTGTCTGCAGTAAAGCAATTTATCAATATCAAATCATTGAAGTTTCTGCTGTTACCTAGTCCTGAATGTGTAGCTAAGTTTCTGTAACAACTGATGACTTAATCATCAGTTTCACTCCATAAAGACAAGCCATTTTCATTCAGGTCTATTATGTCCTCCTCCTTTCTCTTTAGTTTTACAGATATTCAACGTACATTTTTCCCCTTTCCTTTCATTTATTAATTCATTATCATTTACTCCTTTTACATTCCAAGTTCCATTCTTCAGTATACCATGGTTATATTCCAATGGAATTGTTTCAAGAAATGGCATTAGTAAATAGTGCTCTGCCTGTATAGAGCTACTCCAGAATTATTTATTTTACAAGATTTCTATACCATCTCCACTGACAGACTCTTACACAAGACACAGACTGCAATCCCAAACACATTGGAATATTCTTCAGTTAATTCTGTGATGAGAATTACAATTAACACATGCATAGTTGTTCTGAAAATGCCTCTTAGACTCTCACTACCCCAAATATTTTTTTCAAAAACTGTTTGGTTGCTGATTGTATGGATGTGAAAAAGAAAATTGCTTGTTTGGTTTTGTATACAGTGAAACCTAATTTTAATGGATTAATTGGGGGGAAGTGCTGATTATTCAACAATTTCCATTGAATCGGAATTGAGCATAGCAACATATGCATAAATGATGCAAATTATGCCATTTGTATAATAATGTTATTAAACAAAGTAAATAGGGGAAATTTGTTAAGCTGTACATGTGGTCTCATGCTCTGGTAAAAAGTTTAGTAAAATGAGATTTCACTAGATATGACATTGCTTAATAATAGTTAATAGCCTTGATTAATCCTGAATATAGTTCTATTGAAGCAAGTAGCTCCAAAGATGAAAACACTTGATTCTGAAATATTAAATTGGAAAACGTGTTATCCTTTCATATTCTTAAAGCAGATTTTAAATATGGCACAGATCCTTGGAAGGTCAAATCTGCATACGCTGTTGATGTACATCTCTCACTACATTTTATGCTTGGGGGTGCTTAAACTCCTTAAGGAGAACATTTTAATCCCTTGGGGTACAAATTAAATGCTATACCGTATAAATTAGAGGCAAATAATTTTAATAATCTCCTGGATATTTTTCAGAAACACTAATTAGAAAAAATATAAGTCACTGACATCCCAATTCTATGTGTATTTGCCTAAACATTAGCCAATTTATTTTAGCAGCATTTCTTAAAAATTTACCAATGGTAAACACATTTTCCACACGATTAAATTTGCAACAGGAAGCTATGACCAGTCTTGGCTTTTTGATACATGTACTTGTATGGTGAGTGAATTTGCAAACAAGTATTTGTTAAAATGTATATTCTATTTACATGTAAATTACTCATACACACCATCTAAAAGGTTTATAAAACCGATTTAGAGGTGTTAGCAGAGGTTAATTTCTTTTTTTAAAAATGGATTTGCTTTTGGGAAGAAGTTTTTACATGGAGCCCAATAATTAGAAGACTAATTTGATCCTTGTTTTACATGTTGTAGGATGAGGTGGTGATGAACATGCTTTAAACTAACATGTGGACACAAACAGTGGAACAGATGAGAAGATGTGAATGTTACAGGCTTAGTTGCTTAAATGCTATTGTGTTGCAGTATAGTTAGTACAAGCAAATTTAAAAAGGACTATTTTATTAGCTTCCAAAATAATGTATATATAGATTTGTTAAATGCTCAGTAACTTTAGCTTTGCTTTAAAAAAATAGATATAGGCATGTTGTATTTGCCTTGTAAACTAGCAAATTAGCAAAGGCTATTTATTAAGGTTTCTGACAATCTTATTTATTAATATGTAATGTTTTAAAATAAAAAAAGACATTTCTAACTCAACTACCGTTTTGATTTTGTTCTGTTTTGGCCTGATGATAAATCCTACACAGAGGTTCTATTAGACATTCCTTCATCTTATTTCCTTCACAGAACTCAACATTGTAATAGCATAATACATATTACAATCATTTTAACTCAGAGTATCTGTAAGAAGGGAACTCACTGGTTCATTATTTTGATTGGGGTATCACCTCTGAAACACAAGAAAAGAAATAAACACCTATAGCCCTAATAATGAGCTTTCTGATCACCAGTGTTCTATGTCTGGAAATCCAACTGAATGGCAGCTCATCTCGATTGTGCACAAATATACGCAGAGCTATTATCTGATTACTGCATATTCTTTCAGAGTCTGTCATGCTATATGGGTAAAACTTGATCCTCTCCATTTCAATGGTTTGAAAATATTGCACATTCCTCCATTGCAAACAGCAATATATGAGGTCTTGACCCTCGTTCTGTCCCTACACACCAGCCATTTGTTATAAAAGATCAATAAATGCCAAAGGAGTTGAAATGTGAATCATAGAAACAGTTATTTTCCTTTTTGTGCCCACCCCCAAGAAAGTAAACACACAAATCTTTGACACTCCATTTCAGAGTTCTTGAAATGGTTAGCTGAAGTATTTCAAATTAAATTAAGAAATGCAAAAACGATACTACCAATAGAAGCTAGCTGAAAAGGAATACAGTAATACCTCGGTTCACGAACGCTTCTGTTCACGAACAATTCAGTTCACGAACAGCAGCGTTCGCAAAATTTTGCTTCTGTTTGCGAACTCTGCATTGGGTGATGAACACGACTCGCGGCCATCTTCCCTGCTCTGACACATGGTCGTGGCTTCCTGTAGGCAAGATCGCGGTCGCAGACAGACACTGGCTGTGAAGCTTTT